TGAGCCAAAATTGCTCACCACTGGTATAAAGACACAGGCCTATATTTAAAAAGTATGCACCAATCATAAAGACTCCTAATTAGACGACACAGATCAACCTCACCCATCCTTGATCCTATGCCAGTGTAACTTTATTTCACTGGGTGACCTGTGTCTCAGACTCACAGGATCAATGATATCTCCTCTCCAATGCATGCATTTGATATAGAGCCTATTCTAATGAGAGCAAAAATTAAGATACTGACATAAAACTAAACTCAAATAAATGTTCTTTAATTAACTAAACTCAGTTTGAGAAAAAATGTTGGTAATGCTGCAGTCAGCGCTTCCCAGTTGCTCAGCTGCTCCTGCACATAGAGCCTTGCCTTTAAAAGGAGGGGGCTCATATTCTCAGCTATGTTTGTCAATTCCAAGGTGGTCTTTTCAAAGGGCCAATAGCAACCCACAGCCAGCTGAGAGAGAAGGTGACAGCTGAGATTGAAATAGTTTGTGGCATGGCTCCACTCAGGAGGTCCTGTATATTCAGGCCTGCACTACAGTGTAGTGTGTCCTACCTATAGAAACCACTGCCCCCACCTGCTGGCAGCGTCACTCAGCATGGTACTCTGACTTTTATGACACCCACACCTTTAGGAACAAATGGTAGTCATTCTTACAAAGGATAATAAACACTTAGATTATATTAAGATTTAGGAATGCTACATGCTATGCCAAACCTTTCCAAGTCATTGTATCAATATCTTTTAAAGTGTGCAATAACCATTTGTTGCATACCATATGTGCAATAATGTACACAGTTTTTTTTGCATAGGTGTGAAAGTAATATGTAAAAAACAAAACAAAAAACAAAAACAAAACTAAAAATATCAAGAATGACAGCTGTTTGCAACTTGTAATATTCTACACTGTAGTGTATTTGTTGTTAAATATTGTGTGAATGCAGAATTACACATTAAACTAATTTTTCCAGTGAATTAACAAAAATATCTTTTCTCAGACTACAGGGAGGCTTTCGGTCTTTTCGACAGGGTGGGTGACAACAAGGTGGCCTACAACCAGCTCGCTGACATCATGCGTGCTCTCGGACAGAACCCCACCAACAAGGACGTCACCAAACTGCTGGGAAACCCCTCCGCTGATGGTACATCAAGGTTCTTATTTACTATAGGATGGCAGGATATAGTTTTACATCTTTTACATTCTTAATCTTTTTACATTCTTCTAATACATATACATTGTCTTGTATAGCTGCATAATTGATATGTTTTTGTTTTTAAGTTTAGTGATAAGAGTAGAGTGCTATTACAGCAGCTGTGTGCAGACAGACAATCTGTCATACATTTGTACCTTTGTTTTCAGACATGGCCAACAAGAGAGTAGAGTTTGAGGCTTTCCTGCCCATGCTCCAGACCATCATCAACAGCCCAAACAAGGCCGGATTTGAGGACTACGTTGAGGGTCTGCGCGTCTTCGACAAGGAGGGCAATGGCACAGTCATGGGCGCTGAGCTGCGTATTGTGCTGTCCACACTGGGTCAGTTCAACAACTATCCAATCATTTTTGTCTTTCTGATAATACTGTATAATGTATGTGGTGTTAATATGGATTTGTCGCCCCCTATAGGTGAGAAGATGACTGAGGCTGAGATTGATGCTCTCATGGCAGGACAGGAGGATGAGAGTGGCTGTGTCAACTATGAAGGTGAGTTCAATATGGAGTTAGAGCTGTGCATTTCATTGCTTTCTATATTTAAATCAAGAGCGCTGCTTTAAATCCTCTCAGTTTCTCAGTTCTGTCTTTGAAGTAACACATTTGAATAAATTTCACAGTATTAACTAAATGGCGAGAAAATTCAGTTTGTCAACTGGGCAAAAGTTAGTTTGGTTGAAGACGTTTCGCAGCTCATCCAAGCTGCTTCTTCAGTTCTGGTCAGATTGCTGGTGGACACTTCCTTATTCCACTTCAACCAAACTAACTTTTGTCCAGTTGACAAACTGAATTGTCTCCTCGCCATGGATTCTACCTGTACGACTGAGGGATTCTTCACAGTATTAACTAAACTAAACATCTCATTAAATATTGAACACCATAATAGTTATTATTATATTTTTAATAGATAATGTAAACCCAAGTTGAAGTATTGGCACTACCATAGGACAGGACAATTTAAAACGAGACAATTAAAACAAAAGTCTGAATGAATTATTTCATACTTTCACTTTAGTCAAGTGCAATGGACGTTGAATTAAAAACACACTCTGGGTGTTATTTTAATTCTTTTCTTAAGAAAACATGTTAATGTTAATATTCAAAAATAGCTAATTTGTAATAATATATATAATATATCTGATTCTAAACTATTTGCTTCATTGTGACTCACTGTCTCTCTCTTTTGCCTGCAGCTTTTGTGAAGCACATCATGTCTGTGTAAGGACCCTGCTGCTGAGCTGGTGAGCATCGTATACTTGCAGACCCCATGGTGTCACGACATCCACTCCCCATTTCGAGCGCCACCTAGAGGAAATGGGGTGAACAAAGGACTATGAGATGTCATTGAACAAGTCATGAACCCTTTTTTTGTTCTACATTTTATTGTCCAACTGGTGCTTTCAACTCCTCCTCCTTCACAAGTTATTCCTGGGAACGTCCTGAATTTCCAAGAGATGCATCCATTATTTTTTTCCAAACAAGAACTCCCATGCCACATTGGTGCTGTGTTGTCACGAGTTTGTACAGCTTTAAGAGATGGAAGAGTTTTTCTGTCGCTTTCTGTCTTGGCTTAAGTGACTGGTTTGGCCCAGGACTGGCCATCAAAGTTGATCCTTTTCCTAACCCTTCCCTAAGTCTTAACTTATTGTACTCCCTCGGTCATGTCACAATAAACTTTATCCAATCTCCCATTTTAATTCTTCTTCCTTCTTTGCCCACACACTTTCTAAGTAGTTATGTTAAGAGTTGACTAATTGATAAACACAACTATTCAGGTCACAAAATAATTGTAAGAACTATAATCATGACAATTTTAGAAGCAAAAATTTTGTAATGTTTTAGTCTATCTTCCTAAAAAGTAAACCATTAAACCAAAAGTTTGATTTCACAAAGCTGGTTAAACTAGAGGAATGTTAACCTATTAGACAATGAATTCAAATGAATTCACAATTGTCTGATCATACTGTCAATCAAAAACAATGGTAAAATCACAATGCTATTTCTCAAAATAATCATAACACACACATTTCATATTATGACATCCCTACTTTTAAGACAAAAAAGTCCTGTGAGTCAGTTTTCACCTTTTTATTGTCAGTAATTATTGTCATTTATGTCATATCAACAAGAGAAAAACTGCGTACATCTACTTGACCTTTTAAATACATTTACAGTTGCTGTAGGTTGGAGCAGGAGGTGGGTAAAGCACATGGGAATGGTAAGATGCAGAAAATACACAGAAGCAAACAGAAGAGTCGCAGATGGAGGCAGTTATATATCACAAATGTAGTCAGTGATTCTCAAACCTCACACACAGGGTACCATCTTGGAGAAATGTCTTTTAAAATAACATCTTTTTAGCTTTTTGCTTATTTAAAATAGGCGTTACTACAAAAATTGTGACAAAGGTTCAACTACAATGTAAATCAAGTCTTAACCAAAACTATACCAGGGCAAAGACTGGACTTGAACTAAAGTGCAGCTTATCCAGTGCTAGTTAGTTAGCACTCACCTCACAGCAAGAAGGTCCTGCCATTGAAACATCTGTTCTTCTCTTAGATCAGGACTCTTTCCAGGTTAAGTAAGTCTAGAAAGCACTATCAATGCACTAAACTAGGATTCAAATCCAATCAAGTTCATTCTCTAACCTGTAAACTGTTGTATATAAATAAATAAATTCAATTAAATAAAAAATGCAAAACCTTCGTAAATGTAACAGTAGCCTGCATACCACCACTGGTACCTGCACCACAGTTTGAGAAACACTGCAGCTGGTAAAGAAAAAACCTAGATCACTCATACACTTTTATTTCCAAACAGATGTAACAAGTGTTCAAGAGTGTTTTTAAATAACGTTTTCCGATATTTTTTCCACATTCCTGACCTACATTGCAACAGAACATCCAGGTACATTAGCGTGTCTTGAAACATAAGATATGTATCACACACGCACACACACGCACACACACGGACATGTTCAAATACATACAAGCTGCGTTCTCACAAATTGCCGACTGCAGCCTTCCCCTTAAACAATAGTCAGTCTTGATTAAAAAAAGCTGATTTAGACTGTGAGCAGAGAAAGCCTAAACTACTGTATTCACTAACTTAACTTTTCTATCTGACAATGTCTTCAGTGAAACAGGCACGGACACAGAGCAGTGGTTCTCAAACAGTATACTCCAATATTTCCCCAGCAAATAAACTCAATGGAACCTGCACAGGAACAAGAAGGGCTTAATATCACTTCAAAAAATCTGCTCACAATTTGTTTAAACCAAGACAAAACTCTAGACAAGCGAACAGGCCTACAAGAGGACACAATTGGGAATTAATCCGGTAGAAATTAAAAATCATTTTCCAAATCCAGACATTCCTCAGTTGTAGTTTGAGAACCACTGATCTCTAAAACTTTACCAGGACTGCATTCAACACCAGCTGTCTGTCACCAAGCGTTACACTGTAAACAACTAATAACTACAAAACATGAAGTTGTATCATTGTTACTCAATATGTGAGGAGATAAATTACTAAAATCCTTGTTTGTTTTTTCTTTAAATACAAAATAGCCTCTTTTTAATATTAGAATCAATACATGCTTCTTAACATAACCTAGTTCTTGCAGTAATAATGCAATTTTACAGGTTTTACGGTATAGCCATATTGTGATTTCCTTTTAAAATGTTTTCAAAGACATGTAGATGGCAAGGTATTTTAACTCTGTATATATTAGTAATATTGGATAGAAGATGACTGGGATGAGTTGCAGTAAAGATGCTTGGTTTGTTAACAAGGGATATGGAGTCCATGCACATTTACTGAGCAAGAACCATACGTGCTGCATGGAGTAAGGGGCCACTTTACTTTCTACTTCAAGAAAAATAAAAGTGTGGCTTCTTTAAAACACGTAGCAGAACCAAGCAAATATCTGGTAATATCAATCAATCTTCAAAACTTCTATTATACCATTGTCCAAAATAGGAGGCCATTAAATTAGAAATTGCACATATCCAGGTTCAAAATCGACAAGAAATACTTTAAGCTCCTAAATTAAGTCTCTACTGTTTTGTGTGGATGTTGATAGTTAGAGGCTGTGGTTTGGATACAGTATTGTTGGCCCGATGGTGGCAGGAGAAGCCAGAATAGTCCGATGGGATGGGGCATTCACAAGCCCTGCTTGGCTAGAGCTTCGGTGACGTCCTTGGCCAGGGTGGAGAGCTGTGGGGACTCGCTAAAGTTGAGGCTGCCGGAGGAGGACAGGTCCCGGAGGCGGCTGGGGGACATGGAGCCGGAGCGCCGCGGAGACTGGACCACGATGTCGGCCCCGTGGTCCACTCGGGCCCTCGCCTGGTCGCGGAACATCAGCCTGTGACTCTCGATCTGCCAGGGGAACAGGTGTGTGAGGGACCCAGGTATGGAAGAGAACATTTAAAGGCGCACTATGTAACTTTTTTGATGGCTGGGTTGTGCTCTGTCATCTCTTTGCCTCCATGATTTTATTGCATGCCTGGAATATCCCACAATATGGCATTAAACTTATGTCACATTTATACAATTTTCATTTTCTCAAAGATCTGATGGTATCATTTGATCATTTCCACAGAGACATATATGTTTAATGACATGCAGTGGAATACTGTATTCCAGACAAAGTAATACTCCCTGGAGATAAGCAGGTGATGGACCCTCCACCAGAGAAGTTACATACTGCATCTTTATAGAATTACATTTTGTAGATACTGTATGTACATAATAATATATAACATACATGCTACAATACACTAAGAAATTTCATAATTACCATACACATTTACAAGAAATGAAATGTATTATAATTACACTATTATAAGAATTTAAATTTTTTTTTTGTTTTTTCACATTTGCACCAACATTGAGATGTGTTTTTGAAAAAATATGGTTAAAAAAAACATAGCCAGGGAAGTAATTTAATCAGTTTTGGTTCTAGGTTAGCACTGAGATTTTAAGTTTGACACAATTCAATTAAACAAAAGTAAATGCAGAAGGTTTAGTTCAAAAATATCTCTAAATAACTATTTATACTCTTTTTTTCAGAAGAAAGTAGGAATGTATGTATGACCATAGGTTTGGGTAGAGATGAATGAAAAAGACATGAGGACAAGACACGGATTTTAAAGCAAAAATATTAAATGGGGGAAAGGTATAAACATAAAGTAGATCTTTAGATGGGAGGAGTAACATGTCTGTGTTTAGTTGGGATTAAAGTTTTCATGGGACAAAAATGGTAGTGTACTATACCTTTGTCTGCAGCTAAAGGAACGCAAAAAGTTTGTGGAAGATTGACTATTTAAGATAGTATTTGATTAGAGATTAGCGTATGGCCTCATCTTTTGCCTCACAATTGCACATATTTAGTATAAAATTTAGTATAAAACCATGTCCTGATGACTACCTTTTAAAACTTAAAATTATAATATAATATAAAAAACAACAACAAAACAAACATGATTCGAGATAAAGCATTTTAACTAGTGCATATTCATTTAATACTTGAACTACTTAATTCTACAATCTGTCCAAAACTTTATGATTTCCTTTAAGTCATTTCTGGAGCAGACACTCACCAGCACTCGGCCTCCACCTGGAGTGTGATGGGCATTTTCCAGGGAACCCACCTTGGCTTGGGCTTTGTCTTTGAAGTCCAACTTCACACTTTCAATACGTACATTACCACCCCCTAGTGAAAAAAGAAAAAAACAAAAACAAGAAAAACAAAATGCAGCTGAAAAATAATTTCAGCAGTTGATATAAAAAGAAACTGTTGATAGAATGATATGGTATCTCTCTTAAATCATCTCACTTAAATCTGATAAAATATGAATTGTTGCAATCCCAACTGTAATAATAATGATGATAATACACCTTGAACTGCACCAGTTCCAGAGAGAGGGGTCACAATATTCCAATGTAAGTCAATGAGAGGCAGGGTCAGTAGGAGCCGGAAGAGCCTGGATACAAACCTCCTATTTGGAATGAAGCGGCTAGCTCGTTAGCTGTGTCCGTTTATATATACAGTCTATGGTTTCATTTAATATACAAAAATGCTTTATTTATATAATGTGTAGTTGTGTTACCAATAATGCCACTAGATGGTGGTGTTCAACATGTAAAAATCAATGCAGCAATCTACACCTAAAAGATGTTTTTTTCCAACATAATTTAATCAGGAAAAAACATAACCATGAATAAAGCATGAACAATTTGGCCTTGTACTAAAAATACAGGGTCTGGAGAGCTTTGGGCTGTTTGTCTTTGCCTGACAGTTACCTGGTCGATGATGGATGTTGTCTAGAGAGCCGCACTTGGAGGTCACATGACTCAAGTCAATCTTCTTATTCTGTATCTGCACCTACAAGCACATGCATGAGGTTATGAAATCTTTTAGGATTAAATAATATTGGGTCTTATTTGCTGCGCTGGTGCAGGAAAATGCTAGAAAACAAAATATAGTGGGTTATGTGACAACTCAAAGACGAAAAGCGAAATCTAGAATAAATAAACAAAAAGTCTCCACATCTTTTAAATGGTGATGGATTGCCCCTGTCATTACCACCAACACTGCTGCTAGATAACAATATCATTTAGTACTTTTTAATGTGTTTTTCACAATTTTCCCCACATTCGGGACAGCCAAAAACATCTAGACATCCATTATAATAAATAGCAGAGTCTTCCTTATTCCCATGCATCAAATGTCAGATTTTAATGCCTGATTTTGCCAACAGGACTGGGCTAGCGTGGGAGGATATTTGCAGCATTTGTCTGATATTGTTGCAAAAATCCATTAACCTGTCTGTCTCTTACAGCCATGCAAAGTAAATTATGTGCTTTCACATTTATTATACTCTTAGATGCAGGTGGCATTTTGATTTATGAACAGAATCTCAACTCATTGCTATATAATATGGAGTTGCATTAGAAGTTAATAAAAACAAGATCCAACTTTTATTTTATGATTACCACCTCTCATAACAGTAAATATGTATAAAGATGGTATGCAGTTGTTTTTACTTAAAGGTGCGCTTATGTAATATTTCTGCCACCTTCTTGTCTCCATGGAGATGTTGATTTGCACTGAATGTTCCCCACTAAGGCAATAAATTGATACATTTCTATGAAGACAATTCACTCATAGTACAGGAATAGAAGCACCTGCACTAAAATAAATGATATTTAATGCCAAACTGTGGAACATTTCTTTTAAAATCAAATTAATCTCTTATGAGGGTAGGATTATTTTGTTCAGCTGGCTGTAGCTGGTTGCTATTGGTAACTTCTTGTCTCTAATTGCAAATGCACAACCCCAAGAGACTAATGTGCAGTCAGGAGAAGTTTTATAATGGCTTTATTATCATCAAGCCAGTGCAACATAATTTTGATTTCAGCGCATTGCTCTAATCATTTCATACCTCAGACAGCCATAATGGAAATCAATCATTATAGCTGTCAGTATAAAAATATATAAATAAAAAACATAAAACATAAGCAGGCGATTAGCTACAGCAGTAACTAACAGTAGCTGACAAGTAATTAATCTTGACTTGTGTTGATTACCGTAGTGGCTTTAATAGAAATCATGCAAGACCAACATGTCAAATGGGTTCACACTCCTTCCCTTTGAAAGTGAAAGCCAAAGCAAGGTAGAGGTTTGGGTCTTAGTGAAAATTAAAGATAAAATACATGAAAGGAATGAAGGGAATTGTACAGGGACAACACGGACATCAAAACCACACAAAATAAAGCGCTTTGGCACAGAGACTCACGTGTCCACCCCCTGCTGAGTAGCCCCTCCTGTCCAGCGAGCCACACCTAGACTGAACATGGCTATAGTCCAGCTTTACACTGGGAATGAGGACCTGCAGCGAGGAGGTGAGCAGTGAGCAAGACTGAGGCTGTGTGCTTAAAGGTGCATTGTGTAACTTTTCATTTGAAGGAACATGATTTGCTTGTTTCCATGGATATGTCATTGCCTGGAATGTTCCACTGTATGACACTGAACAATTGGCTTTATACGGTGGCTTTATATCTTAAAAATATGTAGACAAACTCTGAGTGAGTGGGGTTGTCTCGCCACAGATCCGACCTGCAGCTTGGTCTAGTTTGGTGTCCATGAAGTTAAAAAACTTAATACCATACTGTGAAACATTCTAGATGAAGTAGTAACATCTCCATCGTGAAAAGCATTCGAGAGACCCTCCTCCAGAAAAGTTACACAATGCATCTTTAAGTGTGTAATCAACAAGATACTGCAAAATAGAGTTTAGTGTGAGAATGTCTTTTGATAAATATCTATTTTGTATAATTTAACAGTTACATAACAGTTATATCTATAGATCTTAGATTTGAACATCAAAAACTTGCATTAGCTACCACAACAATATAGAAAGTTAACTCTTTGATGTGTGCAGAGTCAACACAATCCTGATCTCTATTCAGGAATTTCAGATAATTATTTATTTTCTTTTCCCACTCAAACAATATGATATTTCAATATAAATTGCTCATTTACTATGGTGATGGAGCACAGTAACATTCCATCATAGTGTATGATTTTTATATTCATAATCAGTGTTTCAAACTCTTGGGCCCTGATCCAGTGTGTATTTATTGTGTTGAAGTGTGCATTTTTGGTTTGGTTTTGAGCAAATGCTTTAGCATTTAACTCCAAGCAACCCTGTATTTTAGCCAGTAAACTGTATTGCAATTTGGTTGGAGAACTAACTATATATACACTTTCAATGGTTAAGTAAAGTGGTTTTTCTACCATTCCACAAACACATTTTATAAAACCATGGAACAAAACAACAGCTAACAGTTCCTCCATATTTCACTGCATCCAGTTCTATCACTATCATGATACAGTGGTGCTTTACTCTAAAATTATGTTTTACTATAGAGGAGCAAAGTGTAAAAATCGCATGCTCCAAAGTCAAGATGCAACAACACGCAAAGTGAATGAATCCCAAATGGGAGATCATTAGTTCAAAACTGAGGGAAGATGAACTAAAGTTGTTCCATAATGAGCAGAGAGAGACGGAGAGCGAGAGAGAGAGAGAGAGAAAGAGAGAGAGCAGGAGTGATGCATAGCGCAGCAACAGAAGATACAATCTGCTGAGCACATAACATTTTTGGATGTTACATAAACTACACAGAAACACATTTAACACAGACAGGACTACTATAGTAAACCAGGTTAAGTAGAAATAAAACTGTCTGAACTGAAGTACTCAACAGATACAATAAATACTAATGTGAATGTTGACTAAATGTATTAAAAAAATAGAATAAAAGGCTCTAATACCATATTGTTGTTTATCAGCTGTATATACTTTCGCCATGTATATGCATTCACCATATGGTTATTACATTACAACAACTTAATTACATTAAACAGTAAAACATCTGTAAAACTGACTGATAGCTTGCTTAAGGTACACAACGCATATGATAAAAAGTATTGATTTCTGGAAGCATTGAAAAAATACAATGATATTACTGTTTTTATGTTGGCTAAAAAGTGAACTCAAATAATTTAGCATTTATTTTTTGCAGACGTTAATACCTTTAAGTTTGTAAAATAATAGTCTTAAATGTTTACAATTCTCATCCCAGTGACATGTGTGATATTTTGGTCATTGTTAACACATGGTGTGTTCTTATAAGGGAGAGAAAGCCCCTACAAGGCCACACTGGTGTCAGACACTTGTGTAGTGTGAAGATTTACAGCAGCAACAATAGTTAAACTAAAACCAGAAGATTAAACAGTTGTTGAGTTATTTTTGAATACATGGATAGGGATGTGAGGAAAACCTTATGCTGAAGAGGCTATTTTAAAACACTGCTTGAACTATGACCTGTAAAGTGATAAAACGCACCCTATAATGAGACAGCATTACCAATATAATAGTAACAGCAAATACTCAGCAAGAAATGCTATGCATGGTACTGGAAATTAGGTACAGTTTTTAAAGACAGCAGAGTGAATTTATATAATGAAATACTTAATATCTGTGTTTGGTGTTAAACATTGAGAATACAAGGTTATATACTTATGCTGTTCACAAAATAAATATCCTTTCTTGTATAATAATATAATATAATTGTCTGCAACCATAACTAATGCTCTGTTTATTGGCCCTTGCATTCTTTAATTAAGCATTGAAAATTGTTTTCTTTATGGTCATCTGTAATAATTTCTTCTGATTTTTAACTGTTTCAATATTTATGCCAGGATTAACGCTACATTACTGCACACCCTCATTTCACTGTGCTCTCTTTTCCAATTCAGAATCTACCCATTCCATTAGAAGCTAAAAGAATGTTAAGTGCCTTTGTATTTCAGTATTATACAGGGATGGAGCAAGGGGAGGGTTTGGGGAGGTACTAGCCCCCCTAGGATGGCCACTGCACCCTCCTATTTTTGCCCCATTTTCATAGGATATTCAATCTCATAAAAATAAAAAAACAACCACAAAGGGTTCAAAATGAGAGTATAATATAAAATAAATCCAAATTACTCAAATCATTTTATATTTTACTTTTACTTATTTTATATTTTACAGTTTGACATTGCTGATAAATGTGTCAATGAACATGACTCCCACCACAGATAGATATATAACAGTAATACATTTGAGGTAATAGTCTTACCTGTCCACCTTTAGGCTGGTACTTGATATTCTCTGTGGATCCAATCTTAGACTTGACGTTTTTGTAGTCAGGCAGTGGTTCACTGATGATCCGGAGCTGTTTGGGTGTTGTAGCGGGAGATTTGGGTGGGGTGCGGACCACAGCCACCTTCCTCTCTTGTGAGATGAGACTGAGCGAGCGAGGGGTCCCGGGGGTCCTGGAGGAGGAGGAGTAGCTGGGGGGAGTACTGGGAGTCACGGCTGCAGAACCGGGGGTCCGAGGTGTAGAGTGACCACTCCGGGCTGAACGGGAGCGCATTGTCTGTGTGACTAGATACAGGGCACATTTAACAGTTAAACCAACACAGTGTAATAGATTAGGTTGGGTTCAAATGCTTATAATGTAGTTTAACATTTAGCAAAAAGGCAGGTGTGAAAACTAGAATAGTTAGTAGAATTACAGTATAGTAGTATTTGTGTGAAATTTAAGACATGTTGTAATGTTGTTACTTCCTCAAAAACATAACTAGAGTTGAATTGTGTTTTGTTTCATTCCATTCCCACTTGTTTGAATAACCCTTTATTATTAGTCTCCAAACCTGAAAATGCTCTGTTCCACCTTGTGATGTCATGAAGCGGTAGTTTTTAGTTAATAGCTACCTTTTACCTTTAGTTCAGTAGAGATCAGAAATTCCAGGGGTGAAATTATTAAATTGTGAAATGATTATTATTAACACAGTGGAGCACTTCTTGTATTACGACATAACATCACACATGTGAATGAAACAAAGGTGTGTGTGCCAGTGGTGGAGTTAGCAATTGAGGGGCCTGTTCAAACTTGAGTTTGGTGCCCTCACAAAATCCCCCCCCCCCCCTTTTGTTTGTTTGTTTTGTATTGTTGTTGTTGTTTTTTTAAATATATATTTATTGTGTGTTTTTCCCCATTGTTCTTGAGACATGCACATATATTTATGTGAATTATGGTGGATTGAAAACTTGTCTTATTAGTTAGGTAGCCTACTAGATAACCAGAGCTGAAAGTAGTTTTATTTTTTGCTAGTACAGTTACATTTTTGTTGATATCCATTATATATGATTATTATATTTTCTTATAATTATTGTAATGTCATATTGAGAGAAAATCAAATTGCTCTGAGGCCTCGACCATTAATAGCACTGAGGGCAACTGGATGATGGCTCCTCCTGGTTTGGGGGCCCTAGGCAGCTGCCTGCTTTTGCCTTATGGTAGCATCGCTACTGACTCCGGGCATGTTTTTCATGAGGAAACATTATTACATACATCAGAAAATACAGGGCCAATTCACATGAAACAAAAATGGGCATAGTTAGAAGTTTCTGTCAGCACAAAGGTGACACCGTGATTTTTTTTTTTTTTTTTAACATGGCGAAAAGTTGTGCCAATTTCTGGATCTAACTGCTGACAAAAAAGAATAAGTTAAATGTTCTTTAAAAACCTGTGAATTCCCCATCAATTTATTTATAACAACAGATAATGCTTATAGGACTAGTTTTTACCTGTCATTGGAGCCCGTCCAGTCCTAAACTCTGCTCTCATCTCAGTCCGAAAAGCTAGCAAAGTAAAACGTGATATTTCATAAAAAAAGTTACAACTCACAATGCTGTCCTAGTTTAGTTGAGTGTATCAGCCTTACATGTAGGTCTACGTGGAGCTGTGGAGCCAGAGCTGGTGATGGAGGTGGAGCTCTCCTCGTGATCTTGGTGAACGCGGCGAGTCCATGTGGCTGTGGGGCGGGCGTATCTCCGAATGGGGCTTCGAGACCCTCCATCCTTTGTGGAGACATAGTGCATCTTTGTATGTGTCTGCTATGCTCAATGTAATTCAATAAGAAGGGCTATTAACTAAGGAGCAATTACATTTGATAGCCTTTGTTATGAGTTAATTAGGGATGTAACAATATTGAAAGCAGGCCTAACTGTTTAACATATTATAACCCATAGTGCAATATTACAAAACTGTAGAAAGAGTAGAAATGTTACTAATAATGCAAAGGATCAAGGTGTATTTAGTTTCTTATGCATTTTCTAACAATACTGTTGCAACATATTAGCATTCAATATACTGCATTATCATTCAATATACTGCAAAACTCAACAAAAAATAATGCAGTATGATATGTCATAATATGGCCAATAATGTTACATGCCTAATAGGATAATCTTTTCTATGATGAACATACCTTGACTACGCGGTTGTATAAAAATAGGAAAGGTTTAGTTGAGGTTGCTTTATCTAAAGAAGCAGCTGGTCTGGATATGGAGGTGGGGATCTTTGTTAGTGGTGAACGATGGCACTAAGATGGAGTCAGTCCCAGTGAAAAACACAAAACACAAGACACAAAGTGACAAAACTGACATGCACAAGGACCAAATCTGATCTTCACAAATCAGATCTACACACTACATATACATAAATTAAAGGTGCGTTATGTAACTTTTCAGGTGAGGGTGGGTGGGGGCTTGGGGGTCTACCATCTGCTTGTCTCAGCTGAGATGTTATAGCCTTGCTTGCAGTTTTCCATTTTTGCATTTATGCAGTAAGTCTTTTTATTGCAAAACCGCACCTTGCATTCTTACTCCTTGTTTCCATGAAGTTATATATGTTGTAGAAGATCTATGCAAAGGTGTAGCAGCTCAAGAGAGACAGGCAGGTGATGGACTGACCCATAGAAAAGTTACATTAGTTACCTTTAAATAATCATACATTCACAATGATTATTATTTGATGGAGAGAACACATCTTTAAAATATATTTAAAATTTATATACATATATATATATATATATATATATATATATATATATATATATATAATATATATATATATATATATATATATATATATATATATATATATATATATATATATATATATATATATATATATATATATATATATATATATATATATATATACATACACACACACACACACACACACACACACATTATACATCATTTTAAACCCAGCTAACCCAGTCAAAGGTCCTATATTATACAAAATGGATTGCTGTGAGCTTTAAGCCACATTATAATTTGTTACCTCTTCAAAAACATACTGGAGTTGTGTTTTGTTTCATTCACACATGTAATTATTATTATGTCTACACCTCCAAAGCTCAAAATGATCTATTTCACTTTGTAATGTCACATACTGGTACAGTAGTTTTCAACAGATACCTTTTACCATTAATTCATTAGAGAATAGCAATTCTAATGAAGGTGTATGGAGTTTAAAAACAGTGGAGCACTTCCTGTAAAACCACATGACCATGACATCATAAGGGGGAACAAAGTGTTTTCAGTTCGAGAGAAGAGAGAGAGAAGAATTCATTGTGTGAATGAAACAAATCACAACTCCGGGTATATTTTTGATGAGGGAACAATATTATAACATAGATCATAAAATAGGCCCTTTAATATTAAGGTGTTCTTATGAATGAAACATTTTTTTATGAAACTTACATTTGAAGATGACTGTAGCCTTTGTCTCAACCTTTTTGAGATGTGTTATTACTTAAATAGACTTAACAGTTATGATTTTCAGAAACATTTGAATTGTATAAATTAAACTTATGTTGTTTAATATGTTTCTGTAACATTTGCAAACCATTAGACATTTATAGACTTGCATTTTACATTACAATGGTGTTGTGGACATATGCCACAATAGTAAATAGCAAAAAATTTTAAATAAAAAAGAAGGAAGAAACAGGAGTGTCTTATGTAATATATTATGGACAAAGAAATACTAATGTGAGCTTTTAAAAAACTTTCACAGTATACTTTGCTCTTATAATATGCCATGACATTCAGTATAAGCAGAACCTGTTATTCAGACTCAGTGCTGGCTATTACTGCGATGGAAGAGTGAGATAAAGTCACGACCACAGCTACTGGAGAAATGTCACAGGGCGAGCTAACACCCGCACACAAAGCACTATTCAAATGGATGTGTCTAGTGTAAAAAGCCCATTATTAACCACAAAACAACACACATTTCCAAAAAGCAAGAGCAGCCTACATAAACAAAATGGAGTAAACAAAGAAATAGAATTCATGTAGAAGGTAGGGTTAGAGCTAAACTTTTTAAGGAGCAAAGAATCAGGCAACCTCATGATGATATGCTGCTTTTATTACATCTATGTTATAAGTCATTGTTTTCAAATGTCTTAAAATAAACAATTTATTCAGTTGGACTTGGTTTGAGCTTATGTAAATTTGGTTTGGTCTTGTTCTAGTTCTGGACACTATTGTCAAAAATATTAAAAATCAGACATTAATCAATACTAAAACTAGTATCGAAAGTAGATACTCATTTGAGCAAGTATCAATACTAAAGTCACTTTCACAGGACAGAAATGAACCTTTCCTGAAAAGCTTTGGAAAGATCTTAAGTTGTATCAGAAAAAGTATGAGACCTAACCATATGTCCATGGAAAATGGCATAAATGAAAGCACTATTATTTATGTTGAAAATCAGAATCTATCACCGAAAAAAATCGTGTTTTTATTTTTTTATTATCATCATGGTGTCTGAAACGGTATTGAGTATTGAGGCTATTCTAGATTAAACATCCCCCTGCTCCTGAGGACACAGATCAGTATAATGGTCTTTTCACAGCCCTGTTTGTGTATGAGTTTGTGCTGTGCAGTGCAGTGCAGACTACTGTGATGATGATGATGTAGTTACTCACCGATGCTCTGTCTCGGGACTGTCTGGCAACACTGAGAGGTTGGCGTCCGTCTGGTAACGTCTCTGAAAAAATAAAACAAAAAACAATGTGAATGGAGAAACATTCAAAGCAATGAAATATCCCAAATAACTACTTTAGTTATATCTTAGGTAATTTCTTGGTTACATTATGTCTGAAAGATATAATTATAAACTGTGGGAAGATTTTAAAAAAAAAGCGTGTCATTTTTGTTTTTTACAATGTTTATTTCATACTACGGATGCACAGATACCAATACTGGTATTGAATATCGGTAGAGATACTGAAAAATAATCTGGATCAGGTATTGATTCCATGATATTGGTTAAGCCAATACTGTGATTGAGCTAAAGACTAAAGAAGACTAATTACAGGCTGATTTTGATTTAGAAAATCTCATAATGTTTGAACTTTTATCCATACAAAGCTGTTTGAAGGATAAGTAACACATCTCTTGTGTAATAAATTAATATGTTTCATTTTCCAACCCTACACTGGTATCGATATCGATATCGGTATCCGAACTGAAAAAAACTGACTGTTTCATATATTAATAGAATCAATCACCTTCAATCACAACTAATGCATAAAGTTTTTACTTTCACCTGAGGCCTAGCAGTTTTTCATCTTTGGGGTGTTTGGGTAAAAAATATGAAAATGTTATAAAATTTATACTAGCTTATTGGCCACTATGAAGACATGATATCCTTTTAACTTAAGCACAATGAATTCAACATTTCCAAAGAAGACAAGTGCTTTGGGGGAGGTTGTGGATTTGAGACCATTGCTGTGTAGAGATTTGGCAGGATATCACAGAGAATAGAGGATTTTGTATTACATAAGTCAACCTTGGAAAACAAGCTAATTAGGGCTCTGCAGCAGTAGCAGAGTACAGCGTTTTCATCACACACACAGAGCTGGGACGTTGGGGGAAAATGAAGTGCAAACTGCCTGTGGGACAGAGGGGCGTACGGAGCCATTACAGCGTCACGTCCTAAGAACAAAACCTCGGAATCACCAGTTTCCTAGCAACCAGCGGCTGTAAAATGCAGAGTGGATTTGCTCCTGTCGAAGATCAGGAGGTCAGGAGTTTATGTTTTTTACTGATCAAACATACTGCCATAATATGTGTTAGGACATGTGTGATAAATATGGGGCAGGGATGAACTTAAAGAAGATACTTTCAATTTTCTTATCCCCTCCAGCGGGATCTTCTTCCTGTTACAAGCCATCGTTAAATTACTGTGACGGGAATGGGCAATGAGGATGAAGTGTGTTTCCTCCTAGACCCGTATAGCACACACTTGGTCAACCTCTGGTTGGGTGAATGCTCAACCCACTCCACCTTTGCCACCAGGGGCGTAATAGATACCCAGAGCCCAGTACATGGAGGGGTCCTCACAATGTCTATAATTACAAAGTTCATAATTGTTGGTTTCTGGATGATGTCATCCACACAGACGGGGGGGGCAGGGCCACTTTTCCTACTGATACATTGTAATATTAACATTAAAATATCCAAAAGGTAAATTCATAAATATCAAACCCGATCATTTATATTAGTGAATAGACAATAGCATTTCAGCCATATATACGCTCTGACTAACGAATGTACTGAAGACCCATAATTTGGCCCCCGTTTGCCACATCATTTAAAATGTAAATAAATGTTATTTATATTACAAAAGAGTGTTTAATATGTAATGATCTGGTTTAGGTCTAGGACAATGGAATGTTATTTACAAAAAATTAAGAACATTATTAAGGCAAGACAAAAAAAAACATAAAAATGAGGAGAGGCATTTATTGAGATGAATACAAAACAAAAACTATAGTTCAGGACAAAACAAACAAGTGTGTAACCCAAACAGAAGGTGACAGTGAAGGTGAGACAAGACTGACTCAGAGGCTGAATGCCCCACACACAGGGACACGCAGGGACATGGACAGGGACGACACAGGACAGGACAGGGGGTCACCTGTGGTTCTCCTCCTGGGACACGAGTGATGCTTGAACGGGGCGGGTCTGACGTACAGCCCCCCTCAGTGGAGTCCGCCGGGAGGGGGAGTGAGTCTGAACTTCAGCTTTTTTGGTCATCTCTGTCTTCTTCACAAGTGCTGACAAAAACATTATAATAAGCAGTAAGCAAATGTTGTAGGCTAGCATCACTGTACGGCATATCAGATAAAACTGGAAACCCTGCTCTTTACATTTTAAACCAAAACGCTCACATTTTGTTTATCTTAACATGATCATTATTAGGTTTTATTTTAGGTATTATCATTCTGGAGTAGCGCTGGGCAGATCATTGACATTTTTATATTATCATGAATGCTGTTTTTGAAGATATGCAAATTTTAATATTAATATATAATAAAACAATACTGTAAAAAAGAACCAAATGTTGCCATGTTTTACTAATTTTGTCTAACAATGTATAATAAATGCCGTGATTGCAATATTTATATTTTCTAAATTTTTTTCCACCCGTCTACTGTAATATGAAATATGTTTTGTAATAACTTCTACATTATACAAACAACCTTGTCAATTGAAAAATCACTCTCACCTTTCTTCTTCTTAACCTCCTCTCTGGGGACATAGGTGAGCTCCTTGCGGGCAGGTTTGCGTTCAGGTGTGGAGATGCGGCCTTTGGGTCTAGTAGTTTTAGTTTTCGGTTTGACTTGTTTCTCCTGCTTCTCTGTCTTCTTCTCCTGAGACGGTTTCTTCTGGACCACTGCAGGCTGTTTAACTGGAGTCTGAACTTTAGGCAGAGGCTCGATCTGCTCAGTGGCCATGCTTTTGTCATCATCTGCAAAACATGTGGGACAACTGTTAACTTTTGAGTTGTATAAAAAAATTATATACGTACAAGGATGGATAGTTTATTGTAAAAAAAATAATAAAATAAAATAAAATAATTCTAGTGAAGGTGTATGGTGTAGTGGAGTGCTGCTTCCTGTATTACCACATGACATCACAAGGTGGATACAGATCCGAAAACACCATAATATGGGCCCTTTAAGCTATGCACTAAACACATCAGAAGTATTTCTATTACCAAAAAAAAAAAAAAAGGCTTGATTTGACTGTACAAGTGACAAGTGTCTGTTTACAATGTCATGTCTTTTAAATACTTAATATTTGCTGCTAATTACATTCTGTCTGTAATTATACATAACCTCACCTTGTGTATCCACCCAGGAGCTGTCTAGTATTGAGTCATCCATTGTGGTCTCGTCTCTGTCATAACTCTCTGTGGGCTCTTCTGTGTCCATTGTCTCCTTCTCTGGACTGACTGGAGTCTCAGGCACCTCACACACCTCCTCCACACTCCCTCCCTCCATTTCTGCCTCTTGGGCCATCTCCACCTCCTCTTCCTCCTCTTCCTCTTCCTCGTCTTTATGCACCCCAACCCCCAGAGCTTCGGCTTCAATGGGAGCTGAGAACCGGACGCTGTGGCCTGGTTCATCAGCTTCGTCGATAGTCTGTACCACGGTGATGAAATCGTCTTCTACGGTAACGACTGACTCAATGGCAGCGTGTGTTTCGGCCTGCCTAGCTTTCTCTGCTTCCTCCTTCTCCACCTGGGCCAATCTCTCTTTCTCTTTCAACTCTTCTTCCTGCTTTTGTTGTAACTCTTTGGCCAGTCGTTCTTGTTCCTCCTTTTCCATCCGTTCTTTCTCCTCTCTCTCCTTTTTCTCTCTCTCCTCCTTCTCTTGTCTCTCTCTCTCTTCCTGCTCCTTCTTCTCTCTCTCCTCTTTCTCTTTCCTCTCTCTCTCCTCTCTCTCCTTCTCCTCTCTCTCAGCTTGCTCTCTCTTCTCTCGTTCGGCCTTTTCTCTTAACTCCAGTTCCTCTCTTTCTTTCCTCTCTCTCTCCAACTTTTCCTTCTCCTCCCTCTCTCTCTCCTCCTGTAACTTCCTCTCTGCTTCAAGTTTTTCTCTCTCTTCCCTCTCTCTCTCTTCCCTCAATTTCCTTTCCTCTTTCAATTTCTTTTCTTCTTCTTCCTTTAACTTCCTCTCTGCCTCTTCCCTCTCTCGCTCCTCTTTAAGTTTGCGTAAGGCCTCCTCTTTATCCTCTTTTGTAGGAGAAGGGGATCTCTTGGGAGATCCATACAATTCTTTCTGCTTCATTTTAGACGGAGACAACACAGGAGAAAGGAGTTTGTCATCATCGATGTTGCTTTCCACAGAAGATGCTGGTGAAGTTTTGACTGGCCTCGCAATACGATCCTTGGCCGCTCCCGTTAGCTGGTAAACATCTTCAGCGTCTATTTCTTCATATGCTTCTTGGTGGACTAATTTCACTTTTTCTCGTAGCTCTTGTAGCTCTCTCTCTTCCTCCACACTCAAGGGCCGATCCTCCATTTCCAATTTGCGTATTTGCCTTTCGTAATCTGCAATTTCGGTTTCAGACACTGACCCTTCACGACTAGCCTGCCTTTCACTCTCGCTTTCAGTTCTACCGCCTTCTTCGAGAGTTACAGTTACAGTTGGTGTTACAAAGGACTCTGTTTGTTTTTCCAACAAAATTGTATCAACAATATCATCTTTACCTTGATCTTGGCTAGAGTCCTTTCTTTCCTTCTTCTCTTCAGTTTCAGAAGAATCACCACTCCCAGTAGGTTGTCCCTTATCTTCTAAAGATGTATCTCTAACTGCTAATTTCCTCGCTTGTTCACTCATTTTCTCCTCCAGAACAGTTGGGCTGAATTGCCCTGAATTCTCCATTGGGCTAAAAACATCAGCAGGAGATGGCATTGGCCCTGAATATTCACTAAAAACACAATATCCCATCTCTTCTAACTGGCTATCACTCTTTCTTGGACTTAGTTGACCGGAAACCATGCTAGCCATTGGGTCGTCTAAAGTATTGTTATCGCCTTGTATGGACTTTTTCCTGTTAGTGTCAGGTTCAGTACTGTCTGAAGCCACTCTTGAACGGTTACCAGCCAGATCTAACATTTCAGGCAAATCTTGAGCCATTACACCACCATTTTTGGGGGGGGTCTTGGTTGGTTCTGGGGATTGCGGGGACTCTGGCTCGGAGCTGGACTTTGAGTCAGGAGTGATATTTTTTGGTGGTGATGAAGACTCAGTAACAGAAGAAGTGGTTTCCATAATGAAAGGTGGAAAAGTTGGTGCCTTCTCTACGGCTGGAGTAGTGACTGGGAGGTAGTCTGCTGATTCATCCAGACTGCCGCTGGTATAAGACAGGATATCGGATGCTAAAGGGGAGAAGTTTCTAGGTTTGTTTGGATCCATTGCACCAATAGTGATATTTAGTGAGTAGCTCCTCTGCTCTAAGGCCAATTTACCAGGAGAAAGACGACATTCGTTACTCCTATCAGGCACTAATACGTTTGCATCTTCTTTCTTAGTTTCAGTTTTATCAGCTTCACTAAGGGTGCTGTAGCTAATTTCCGGAGCCTTGGTTTCAACTTTCTCATCTCCAGATCTACTTAGTTCATAGTAACCCTCACCTTTATATTGAGGGGACTGTTCTTCATCCATGGCTGATGTCTCAAAATAAGCAGACATCCCAGACCTATCCTTTGTGTCACTTCCTTCAACTTTGGTCGACATGGAAGAGAAATCCGAAGGTTCTGCAATACTCGTAAACTCCACCACTTCTACAGATGGTTGTTTTTCAGTCACTGTGATTGGTTCACCATATGTAGGCTGAAGAGTGAAGGACCGGACACATTCTTTGGCTTTGTTGGAAACATTTGGGGTTACAAAAGCGGGCATGTCCATTGTTGGGCTCTCTGGTACAACTCTTTCACCGGCGAAAAACTCCTGCATCATGGGGGGTTCAAACGGCTCGTCTGGACGCTTCTCAGATCCAATGCTGTCAGGACTTATGGAACCACTTTTCTCATCAATCTGTTTCTCTGACTCCATCTTCAAGGCTGTAAAGACATCTGTAAGTTGGCTGTTGACAAAATATAACTGCAATTAAAGGCTATGTACCAGACTTTTCATGTAGTAAAGTAAAATAAAGAGGGTGAAAAGAGGTTACTATGTAATGTCTGTATTTAACCTTGCGCTGGTGTGCAGTTAACAGGCTAGTTAGTTGGATGTAGTAGTTAGTAGTGCTGTAACCCAGCTTTGCCTCCTGAATGTTGTGAAAAATGCTAAAAAACTCAGTAAAGAATTTGGATGTTAGGAATGCATAAGAAATTACTTTGGACCACTGCCAACGGTTTAAGATTAACTAGGTCAGTCTTTTGCTGTTTGAAAATGGAAAAAAATCAGGTACAAGGCCTTTAAGTAAACAGCATGCTCTAACTGCAAATGTCTATTGCCAAGGGACTGCACTAAGCTAGTATTGGACAAAAGGCAAAGCTTTTTAGAAACTTACAGCCCAATGACATGGCCATCACAGAAGAACAACGGCGGGTGTGTGGGGTCCACCAAGTCACAAATGAATGTCAACATGGAAATGAATGTGACGAATCGGCATGGAGACACTGTGGAACTGAGTGATGGAAACCAGGCAACAGGATTTATATAAACAGCATATACACATGCAACTGAACACAACATGTCATTCTTTATTATGGAAAATTGCATTTGCTCAATTTCTAATTGTAATGAGGTTGACAGGTTCTAGAGTTTAAGTTGTGTATTGTATTTGTATTCATTTTGCCCTCCAATAGCTGTGCTACCACACAGCTATTCTTCCTGGAGTCATGGGCTTATGGTGTATGATATTTTGGGGGGAGGGGGGGTTGATGGTGGAAACCGAAGTGCCTGCAGGAAACCCACTCAGACACTTGAAGAACATGCAGACTCCACACAGAAAGGGATCAAACCCGGAACCTGCTTACTGTGAAGCATGAGTGCAAGCTACCGTGCCGTGTAAATGTATATAGATTGTATACCATACAAAGAATGACATGAAGCGCATATGGAGGACAATAGATGATTGCACTAAACATGAGTCAGGCAAAATATCTGCTAATATGTATTCAAGCATAATCATCTAAGAGTGATTCATGTTTAGTTAGGTATTAAAGTGTAAACATTGATACTAAGATATATGGAAACATGAAACACCTGGAGCTCATAGCTACTGGCAAAAGCACACTAACGTTAAGCATCACCTTACTTCATGAAAGCAAAATGGCCAGTCCAAAAACAACATTAAAACAAAATTCAAAGCTCAAGAATACCACAGAGAATATAGAATGACTAAGTTCACCAACAAGCCTGTGTTGCCTCAGCCGCAGCATAGCGCAGAGACGTTTTCTTGCCATTCCACCTCACTTGTATGTTATATACAGAATATTTTTTTTCAGACATGTTTTCGCTCCTATATTCGGCACTGCAGAGCATGCATGCATGGGGAGCAGAGGACAGGACACACCTGTGTCTAGGCTCTCCTCGCCCTCTGCCTCCTCCTCCTCCTCCTCCTCTAAGCTCCTGGAGCTGTCTGAAGCAGCACTAGCTGCTGCTTCATGCTCATCCTGGGCCTGGCCCGAGGCCTGTGCCTGCTCTAAGGGCTCGGGCTGGGGGCTGTCCGGCTCAGGTTCGTCCCCGCTCCACTGCTGCTCATCAAGAGCAGCCTCTGCACTGTCCTCTTCCACCTCCTCCTCCTCGTACTCAGCTGTGAGAGCCTCCATGGTCTCTTCTTCAGGGAACAGGGGAAGAGGGGACACAGTAAGACTTAAGGCAACACAGACTTGGGTTATGGGACAACACAACTTATGATGGATACTTTCATCTCATCCTAGAGTTTGTTCACAAACTACTGTGTTTATGAAACTAATGTCAACAAAAGTTATTACAGAAGTGCCCAGATCTTCTTGCTGTTTCACATTAACTTGATCCAGGTGTTGACTGTCCGAGCTACTGTTTGTATTGACAAGAGAACTGATAATAGTGGTTTGATCATTTAGATCAGTAATAAAATGGAAACACATAAGCACAGCATTGTAATGTATTGTTTAAAACTGGTCTACTGTCTACTGAATGGTACTCATATAAATGGACAAGTGCCAGTGCCAGTTCCAGAGTGTTTTTGCTGTCTTTCTAACCCTCTTCGTATTAGTGTAATTCTGGACCAGTTTTACCCCCAGGCTCCTCCTTGAGTAGTGAGAAATGTGAAAGTGTTTTTTTTTTTTCCCCCACTGGGCTTGTTAGACCCTTCCTGGATTTGTCACAGAGTATGCTAATTTGAGTTATGTAAAAGTGGTTCTTGGAAAGCTAATGGGAAAAAATGCACAGCTTTATCAACGTCATATCTGCCTTTTACTTTCCTTCTTTTACTGAGAAAAGTATTTCTGTGGGATGTGTGGGAGCTAAAATTCTTGTTGCTACCAGTGAAAAAACAGTGAAAGAACTTAGCTGATTGTTGCCTGGATAGTATTCATATTGTAATATGCATGGGAATCATTAGACATGCATGATATCACACAGTTAATGCAGTTTAAGCCCTGCAGCTTCCTCTTTGCAGGGTCTAATTATACAAGATTAATTTACATGACTTTTGTCTTGAGGAGCATTAGTGTGACGTGGGTCTGTGGATTGTGGGTAAACTGTACAGAAGCCACAGGTAGCAATGACTCATGGTGAAGAAAATTAAAAAGGAGGGTGACAGACATGAAAGTGCTCATATTTCGAGCAGACAAACACGACACAGACACAAGGCCACAAACAAACGGAGGGAGAGACGAACGAAGAGATGGGAGAACGGGAGGATGAAAAGGTCTAAGGTCATGGAAGAAGACACAAGGCAAAAGATCATGAAACCCAGAGGAGATGGAGGGAGTGAGAGAGAGAGCAGATGAAGGGAAATGGCACAAATGAACCATGCGTGGTTCACCTTCAATCTGTCTAAAGGCCACGGCCTGCCCAGTGGGGCGAGGGCCCGAGTGCGTCCACTCTGGGCTGAACAAGGGGTGCTCATAGTACTCCTCGTCGGAGTGGTAGGGGTCGTCCTCGGGCACGGACACTGAGATGGAGGGGGCGAGGAACTTGCACCTCTCCCGAGAATTTTGGAAGCGTCTGAGAGGGCCTGCCTCCTCCTCATCCCCTACATCTACAACAAGACAGACACAAGGAGAAGAACTGCAGGGAAATTTGACACACGGACTAAAAGAGGAAGAAGAGGGTAAATGAAATCAAAGACATGAGGAACAAAAGAAGCAAAAAATGTCCATCTATGAAAAAGTCAACTGAAAATGTAATGTACTAAATCATTGTACATGAAATGAGTACAGATGTACATCTGTTTGCATGACAATTTATAATACAACAAAACAATAATTTGTAATGCAGAAAAATTATTTAAAGGTCCAATGTCAGGAATGGACATTTTTTGCAGTTAAAGGGAGAATATTGTAAAATAGAAATGCCCAAGAGAGGGCAAATGTAAACACTAAGATCAGTGGGGAATGAAGAGAGAGGTGTTCACTGAATGTTGACAGGTGACACATTTTGGAAAGACACAAACAGGGAGACTATGACGAGCAAAGGAAGGGTGACCTGGTTCTGTGAGAACAGCTTCTCATTCATCACTGCACGGTGCAGCACCACAAGTCCTAGTCCCAAGTTTAGCTCAAGAACATATAAAAGACCATAATGTTATGGAGTCTGACTCTCCACACACCCTTCAATCCTCCACAATCGCCTATGTAAGATCCTACTATTATCATGTTCATTATAATCACTGCAGAGACACTAGAAAACCAAATCCTGGTTGTGCACGGACTGTACTGGGATATAAGAAATATACATTTTTTCTATAGTATTGAATATTAAAAACAAAACAGAAAGTTAAGCTTTACATGCACTTATTCCAATAGCCCACTGTGAGCTCTTCAAAGCAAAAATAGTGGCTTAACTTAGTACACACAAAAAATCTTATTAGCATGCAAAACATGATGCAAAGAATGATCTAATCCAAAACATTAAAATCATCAATTATAGAAATCTACAGACATAATATTCCCATGAGAAGTGGATGCAAAAACAGACAAACGACAAAGTGACTGATGGTGGATAGACAATACAGGAGTGCAGATGGCAATGAAAAGGACAAACATATTTAGAATAATGTATGACAAAAACATGCTGATAAACAAATACTTTTTTTGTTGATAGCAATGTGGCCTGTCTCCCCTGTGTAAAAGGAGGGGGCTATTTCCAGTTTCCGGTCACGACCTACACTCACAAACAGAACCAATCTCTGTATGTTAGCCTGGTACAGTTATCTTTAGCCTACCTTGCTCCAGTGGTCCAAAGTGCTCTGCAGCAGGAGAGGGGGGAGGGGACGGAGGCAAATTTGTGGTGTCTTCAACTAAAATGAAAAAATATATAATAATGCAACATTTTTAATGCAAAGTTCTTAGATTTTTGGGGTGAATAGGAGTTTGACTTGTTTAAATGTCACATATTAATAAGGAGAGTATGTCTGAAAGGATTAAACTGCTTGACAGCTCACCTGATGGCAGCTTTTGACTTTCCTGTTCCCCTTTGAGCACAGCCACAGCCTCTGCAGTCACCTCCTGCACAATCCTCGCTGACACTTGCTCTGAAAAGAAATGCATTATGTTATGTTAGTCTAATATGTCTTAGAAAAGCTTTTTGCAAACCAAGATAGACAAAAATCTGTTTAATAACTTCAACTTGAGGAGAAAAACATAATTTTTCATCAGTTTTGCCAAGACGTTGACACTTAAAGATACATCATGTAACTTTTCCAACAAATGCTTGCCTCAATGTGTGTGCTACAACATTGCCTGGAATGTTGCACAGTATGGGACAGTACCAGAGTTGAGTGCTTGTCTACTTATCTGAAGGCTGGCAGTTAAAATTCCCCTCTCAACATGAACGTCATTGGCACATCCCCTGACCCATATGTTGGTTTCGTTGGCAGTCACACATGAATGCTGTTGTCGTGTCCTTGGGCAAGACACTTAACCCTCAGTGTCTGCATACTCTGGTGTATGAATGTATGTGTGAGTAGGCGAGTGGTTCCTTGATGTAAAGGGCTTTGAGTGCCTTTCTCACCTTTACTCAATTACAGGTGTTTGATTATTTAAAAAAAACTATACATGACAATCAATATGTTTAATGCTATACGTTTTTGTCTTCAGATCCCTGACTGCTAACAGAAACAGACCAATTTCCTACGTGTGAATCTGACAGAAATATTGTTGAGTGGAGTGGTCATGGGGAAAATCAGCTCTAAAAACATCCAGTAATTATCTGTCTTGTGGAGGTGTGGCTTAGATCTCGCTGTATTTTTGTCATGTCAGAGATGGGACTCAGTGGGAAAGTGATAACATGCAGTCATTTCTGAAGCTGCAGGGAGCTGCATCTGAAAGCTCCTATTGTCGCCATAGCAACAAAGAAAGAAGCCCCCCAAAAAGGTGGCACTGAGGAACAAGAGCGATTTAACCTTTAGAGTTATTGAGTTTTGTAATAGATGTTCCTGATGCATAGGCCATGGAAGTTAGGCTTTGTCCAATATTGTTTTGGTCAGTTAACAAGACAGCTTAAGAAGTGCATCACATTTGATATTGACACTATACATGAGAAAGACCAGAATCAGAAAAATATAAGGAAATGGAGAATGATCACTGAATGAGACTGATTGTCTCATAAGGTTTTTATTATTATATTTTATATAATGCAGCTATAAAATATATACTAGTACATCGGGATGATACAAGTTCTCATGCCACAAGATCTCGTGAGACAAGAGTAAGAGCAAATTAAGTAAGAGCAAATAAAACAATAAGTAAGAGCAAATAAAACAATAAGTAAAAAATAGCATTAAGCATTTTTTTTTTTTTTTAGCATAACATGAAAAAACTACTAGAACAGACACAAAGATATTAAATCTAATAAATACAAAGTCAAGAGGCTAGAACTGAAAACTGAATCATGATGAAATTTACTCATTTTTTATGTTAAAATATTATCTTGCCTTGTTCTCATCTTGTGGAAATTGTGTCTCATCCCATCCCTACAGATTTACTATATAAGATCTAGGTAATCTGTAAGTAATTGGACAGCATGGAGTGAATACTATACAACAGACCTATACTCCAGCCATATTGGGAGAGCACTGGAAAAATGTGGTTTTGTTTACCCTGAATAGCATGATTTTGGTAGCTCATGAACAGCCTGAGCTAGACTAGCTAGAGCTAGAGGCCTGCATTGCCTGTGCCTTTCAAGTTTATTTAATTAGTTGACAATTATTTATTTTTTAGCTGAAAAGTTGAGGCATTTTATCCAAATCTGCACTAGGTAGGGGCATTAATATAGTTTTGTTCATATGTTGGTATGGATGGTAGTGTGCTCTATTTACCATTACTGTTTGAAGACCTTATTCTAATCCAACGTCAACCCACATACATAAACAAGCTGGCAGTCATTCACACATCCAGTCTCACACTTGTTAGATTTCTGTGCTCGCCTGGGACATTACATTGACTTGCATTCATTTCTTGGAGACTGATCATAACCTTAATATAATTACTACTTGCTTAACTTATCTTTACCCATATCTTCGGTTTAAACCATGGTGTAGTGATGGACCGATACCAAAACTGGTACTCAATATTGGTGGCGATACATTAATTAATAATACTAATAATAATAAACAATAATGGATCAGTTTTATATAGCTCTTTTCTGGACACTCAAAGATGCTTTAAAGAGCATTATTCATTCACTCCACACTCACTCGGTGATGGTAAGATAATATTGTAGCCACAGCTGCTCTGGGGCAGACTCACGGAAGCGAAGCTGCCAATCTATGCCATCGGCCTCTCCGACCAACACCACCTCTATACCATTTTCATACTAGGCAATGTGGGTGAAGTGCCTTGCCGAAGGACACAATAACAGTGTTTTTGCAACTGGTACCCACAAATTGGATTGGGTATCAGTTTCATGATATCAGTTCAGCTAGTAGGCCTTAAATGAGATGTGAAAGGTTATTTACAGGCTGATTAAAGCCTAAAACATCTCATGAAGTTTGAACTTTTATTCATACAGAGTTTTTCAGTAGGAAATTGAAGGATAAATAATAGTTACATAACATGATTGGTTCTCTTGTGTAATAACAGTTTTTTTTAGGGAAAAATGCTCCATTTTCTGTCCCTACATTGGGATCAGTTAATATAGATCGTTGCAGACAGTTAAAGTAACACTATTGATATTCATATCGCAACTGAAAAGCTGGATAGATGCATTCCTGTCATGGTGTTGATCTAAAATTGAGGAAATTACTTGATTTTTAGTCCCCCACGAAGCGAAAGATCCTCATATAGTGACAGCATACAGATTTCAGTCCCCAAATTATGATGAATCCCCGCCCACACTCTCACACACAGAAATACACTTCTGAGAACACTTAACACTGCCCACTCATAATTTCAAAGACCCCATTTCCAACATTGAACGGCAATAAACATCTTCTGTGCAATCGTGTTACAGCTTACAGGGTGAAGTCTTTCATCTAATATGGGTAAATGGCACTCAGAGGTTGACACATAATTGCATACTTGTTAAATTAATCTTGTAAAAGTTTCAGTGATGGATGGAAGGCACAAATGACATCAAATTTAGTCTAAAGAGGATATATATATATATAATATATATATATATATATATATATATATATATATATATATATATATATATATATATATATATATATATATATATATAAAATAACAATCTTTTTGCATTTATCCTAAGACTATGTAACAAGAATAAATTATCTTTCACAATAATCAAAGTTGTGGTATTTCAAGCTGCCATAAGACTGTCCAGTTTGAAGGTAAATTGTCCTTATTACCCACAAACAAAGCACCTTTCTGTTCTCCTGGTTAATGGATTTTGTGTCTTAAAAGCAACATTCAAACACCTACACACAAAGTTAGTGCCCTGTAAAATTGACCTTGTCTTTGATGCTTGAGCCACTAATGGAGACCAATGCTGTCTGGTCGCCTCAGCAATTTCCTGACAAGTCTTATGTCACATCAAATGTACTACACTGGCTGGATATGACACAAGAGCAAGCAGCATGCACCAACTATTTATCTATACAAATAATGCAGGCTAACAACATGCAGACAGAAAACAATTGTATTCCCTAGGTGAGGTGAAATGGTGAAATATGTTTTTTACCTCGTATAGTAGCAGAGACGCTCCCCTCTCAAAGCAGTAAAGACATCGACTAAAAATCCTGAGTCAGTCGCTACCAACCAGACTGCCGCACACACACACATTTAGCACACATGCACTGCAGGATCGAGAGGGCACAGAGAGAGTGGAGAGAGTGCCATTTGGTGCGATACCCGGCACCAGTACCTACCACAACCTGCGAAGCCAGCGGTCACCATGGCAACAGACTGGCGGGCCGCGGAGTTGTATCCCATTGTTATTCGGAAGAAACATGCATCAATTGTAAGAGTCCTCTTTTCATAGCACAGGACAAACATGGTTATATCACAGCAATTTGCTCATATAAGATCAATTATACTCTATATACAACTAGTGAATATATATCATATTTCTTTGACATTGTGTTCAAATAGTACAGATGAATATTTATGAACAATCACCAAAATGCAGTTTCTTGTTGCAAATATCACATTGTTAGTGTTATTAAAGGTAACCGCACACATTTTCTGGTAGAGGGTCTTCTACCAGCTTGGCTCTATGGAAATTTTATTGCTTTCCCTGGAATGTTCCATGGTATGACATTAAACATATACATCTAGCATTTATTCATTAAGGCTGTTTCTGTAGCTCAAGAACACAGTAACTCCTTGTGTGAATAGGGATGAGTCTTCACAGACCTGATCTGTAATCTGTAATCTGTAGCATAGTGCTGAACCTACTTTTCTAGATATAGATATAGATATAGATATATCATATAACATATAACATTTCCATGGAGACAAGCATGTGGTGAACCCTCCACTACAAATGTTATGCAGTGCATCTTAAATTAAGTTTCAAAAACTCAACAAAATCTGTTATAGTACAACATATGATTTGATTTGTTTCTACTCAATTTTACATGTTATGGCAATGAAGACATTATGCTCTTTATCAATTTAGTTGTGAATTGAACAGCCATTGTGCTACTACCGCTGGGAAATCATGTACAGATGGGAAGCCTTCAAGTGATTTCATTTATAAACCAGATAGAAAACAATGCTCCAGTGGACAGCATGTTCAATATTGGTGGGGTTAATATTGCTTTGGGGAAAATTGGGTGTTTGATAAGGCAGACATAGTGTATCTTGAGTCCAGAAACTTTCTATTGTCATCACTTTATATTGAATACGATTATTTCTCTCACTTGGTGTTTTATGTGCGAATGTTCTCATCTTTTATCAGCCTCAAGTGTCATTTTGTACCTGAAGCATTTCAAATAGACTGTCTGCATCAGTCCTTCTGCTACCCATTCTGTCTTAGTACTTAACCAGCACTGCCAAGTATCACAGTGCAAAGTAAGCGGACTATAAGAGACTATAATGCATCCTACACGCAATTAGCTCCATTCTATCAGAAGTATAATACATTAAATCAATGTATAACGTACAAAAGCAATATGGCAAAAAGATCATGATTCCATAAGCTTTTACTACTACTACTACCAATAATAATATATTAGTCTTATATAATGCTGATACTGATAGCGGACTTTAGTAGTTGTGCAAAAATTCTAAGTGTCACTATTTTTAGTTAGTGACATTATTAACCAGATTTTTTTTTTTCTCTTAGTCACTGGATATTCACACTTTACATAGAATGGAAAAGCACAGAGCTGTAGCCACAACTGTATTATTATTTGTCGTGCTTAATTTTTGTAAAAATAATTATACCTAGATACTACACTAAGCGATAATAAAACTAGTATCAAAACTAGATACATCTTCTCAGTATATTCTGTCAATGAGATCATAAAATACCTGGCATATTAAGCTCTTGGACAATGAGTCACAGTATTGATATGTGGAGAATTTAGCAGGGCTTTGTCATTGATTGTTGCATTGTCTTGTCTGCGGGAAGCTACAGGCCGAAAGAACAAAAGCACAGCAAATTGTAGGGGAGCAGTTGCCATGGCGACACCATTGGTACATTATTGTCAGGACTGTAGCTCATGGCGGGGAGCGGGGTAAGGGCTAAAGAGGCAGATTTTATGTGTTAATTACAGCACTCTTAATAACAGTATGTGATTCCAGGGAGGACTCCGGGTGCTAACCCACGCACAACACAAGCCATGCACAATAACAAAGTGAAATGAAATCATACCACCAAATAATAATGAGGTGGAAATAATTAGAACTTCTTAATATTGGAAATTAGAACCTGACTGCGTGACTTTTGCCAAATTATACAAAACTATTAAAGTTTCTTCTGAGAATATAATGTGATTCAAAGCGTACTATATATAATTGTGTAATACTATATTTAAGTATTTACAGCATTGTTGTCGATATTCTGTGCTCAATATCCAATGGCCTTTGCTGAAGCCTATTAATGTGTAATTAATTGGAGTTTTTCACATTAGCCAACAACACACCAGCATTACTTCCTAGTTCATAGACGATAAAATCAAGATAATGCAAACAGCACACAGTGGTCTCATTTTGACTTAAAAAGCTGCTGTTACAATATATCTGTACTGGGGCAAGACAGTTTTACTTTATTACATTACAAACATCCTTCAATTTGTAACATGTTTTACGTATGAAATATAGCAAAACTAATTAAGAACTAATTCTTCTGGAGCTATTGCCTGAAACAAGAAATATACTGATTGACAAGAAATTCCATGCTTTTCTTTCATCACAGTCACTTCCTGTCTGCTCTAGCTAATTTTAATGCATAAAACAAATCTTAACAGAACCTCGGGCCTTCAGATGTCCTCCGTCTGATTGTGCCTATTCTATGACCTTTACTATTGAGTAAATGTTTTCTAAAATTTTTATCAGCACTTCAGAGGTGAAGTGACTGAACTCATTTAAAGGTTGTATAGAGGATTTTCCAAGGAACGAGAAATCCAACGACTGTTTGTCCTTTTTCAAATGTTGCGCATTCGTGAAACCACCCCCCCTCCCCTACAGCTCCCTACGTAGAAACGCTTCCTCCCGCCTCCTCTTTACGCCAGAAACAGGTTTGTTTACAGCCGGTGCGCTGCACATGACTTGTAAACAACTAACTACAGTGTTGGTTAGGCAAGGCGGAGAAGTGAGGAGCGGGGGGAGCGGGTGCGCGGACATTTCGTGCGCGGACGAGAAGTGAGGAGCAGGGAGAAGAGCGGAGCAGGGAGAGAGAGGAGAGAGGAGAGGGGAGCGGTGCACGGAGATTCCGTGCCCGGAGAAATGAGGAGCAGGGGGAAGAGCGGAACGGGCAGCGGGGACAGGAGCAGGAAAGGGGTGCAGAGAAGGTTGCGCGGAGATTCAGTGCGAATGAACTAGCTACAACACGCAGCAGCAAGCGGACTCTTTCTTTGCCTTGAAAATTACGTTTTCAGACATAGGATATCGCTTTCGTGTCCTGAAAAACGTTTGTCTAGCTCTTGGAAATAAAGTACGTTTTCATAATAAGCAGAAGTGACCTGTCCAGGAGTAATTTGGCGACCAATGCGTCAGTCTTTAGACCCTGCGTCTGCTTCAGCTGCGCCATCGCTGGAATGAATCTTCAAGAATCACCTTAGTTTGGCTTCGCTGCTTTTCCCCTTGTCTTCTTCTTTCAGCGACCTCAAAAACGGACTTTCTTTTGCGGCTAACTGCTCCCGGATTCTTGTCTGCCATTGCAACAAACTTTGTGCTAACTGCGAGGAAGATATAGGTCAAAAAAAGCCGCTAAGAACTGTTGCGTTGGTGGAATAAACAGCGTCTGTGCGGCTTGCGTCTGTGGACTGCGTGACAGGCGTACGTAAACCACGTACCGGCGGCGCGCAGGCAAGTCAGTTACGCTAGAAACGTAGGGAGATTGATTGACAGCCTGTCAGCTAACAGATAACGAGGCAATGTTGTTATCTATTGGCAAATGTTTAGCCCCACCACGTCCAGAGTTGATGAATTTTTATTCTCTTTTTTTTGGTCATCATAATTACAAGGCTACTGCACCTCTATAATGCTATCATTGACAATTTGAAACAAAAAAAAATCCTCCATACAACCTTTAAATGGGGATGCTCAAGCTTTCAAAAAATCTGATATCAGCAAATAATTGGATAGTAAAGTATAGACAAAGCAAATATTGTGGCTGAACCATGTACTTACTAAATAGATCTTTTTCACAACAGCTGAATTGGAAATGTCTCGCGTATTTTCCACCAGCTTCATAGATCTGTCTACCCCAACACCAAATCTTCATCTAACAAGGTTGACAAAGGACATATTCTGTCCATGAAGAATTTATTCACAACTATTAAGGTAACAAAGATGAAAAGTTAAAGGCTAACAACGACTAGCATTAGTGAACTACTCCTGGGCAAAACTACCATTATGGTCATGATTAAAACATAAGTAATTTTTTAACTCAGACTGATTGTAGAATTAAAATAAAAAATCTATTTCATGATGTAGATATTAGCATAGACAGAGAGATTTGTGCAGTTTAAATGCTCGACATGCAATCTGTGAACATTTGTAGCATTTGAACTGCACAAATCTATCTGTGCTATTATCTACATCATGAAACAGATTTTTAACAAGTTGCTTATTTATGAATTACTGGTGGAAAATAGCGCAAAACATTTCCACAGATATTTTGCCATAGAAAAGCATTAACTAGAAGTGATGTTTACCCTATATCATGGCACTTCCGGCCATTGTGAAAAAGGTCTATTACACAGGGTCAACTGTTTTCAAAAGTTTGTAACATTATCAATAGAAAATAGCCATTTTCTGCAACTGTACAAGAAAGAATTTCAGATTTAAGACATAAACAAAAAATTAATAATTTGTTTTTTGGCACATTTTAAAAATACTTGTCAAAATTCACTCTAACACAAAGACTATATTAGAAACAAAGGCTTGCCCATAGCTTAAAAGACTGGCATAACTAATTTCAGACATTAAGTTTTACACACAAAATGCATTATCTTTGAGTTAGACTTAGACTTAGACAGACTTTTTTGATCCACAAAGGAAATTACTTGGACATCTGGTTATGGTATTAGGTTCATTCCTGACAATCACAGAAAATATGCAAAATCCACACAGAATTATTACACAAAAAAATCAAAATACAGAATATGGAAGGAAAAAACATCAAATCTATTCCCACTGTAGACATATTTGTTGTATTGTAAAACGCACTGACTTTTGTATCATGTTGAAAACTTCCTCACTGTACATCTCACCTGCTGTAATGGCATGGGCCCCAGTTAGGTCTCCATTGAATCCATTCTCTCGGGCTGTGTACGGACCCCCACTCATGATGGTCCCAGTCTGACATGTTCTGAAGGAGGAGGAGGAGTATCCATTAGCTCCAATGGGACTGGGCGCCTCCTGCCCTGCTGATGGACTCCACTGGGGGGCGCCGTCTTCAGGCTGTCGACTGTCTGCCATGCTGGGGTTAGCAGCAGGGGAGAGTGAGCAGAGGCTGGACTCTCCTATATCCTGAAAGACAAAAGACATATATATATATATATATATAAATAAAAAAAAAAAAAAAAAAAAAAATATATATATATATATATATATATATATATATATATATATATATATATATATATATATAAAGGAGTTGTAACAAAGCATGAGTAGTTTGTTCATTTCAGGAGATTTGAGAAGAGTATTTATTATATTATTGTAGTAGTATTATTATTTAATCATTTACTGTCATCCAGGCAGGAATTGACTTTTTCATTTAATTTCATTTAATCCCTTTTATTTCTGCTCTGTCGTCTGTTGCTCTGTTGTCTGTTTTGCCACATGAGATTTTACTCTTGCAACACTCTGATTAAAAAGGTAAATGCATTACAGTAGTTATTATACCTTTGCACAAAAGCTGTCTAAAATTACTTTTTTTTCCTTGCTTTTTTCCCTCGCTATCAACAGTTTGATTTTGAGTTTTTGCAATAAAATGTATATAGTTTACATTGTCAGGATTATGAGTGCACAAGTAAATTAATAGGAAATATGAAACTAGGATTAAAACATGCCAAATGAATACCCTTCTTAACAAACTTGAAAGTATCATTTGCAGCATCGTTACCACAGGTTAAATGTTGTCACTAACAACACATAACACATAACTATATATAGTCGAGTCCAATGGAGACACTACAGTGGAATAGTCCCCATGCCTATAGCTACAACTATCGCCTGTTCATCCCTGCCACAGCTTCACTGTCAACAGTTCAGAAGTGCCTGTACGTCCTTGGGTGTGTGAGCAGTTGACAGGCGCAGGATGAAAACCGCCTGATTTATGTGTATGTAATGGCTTATTCCACACTTGGCCCAGGTTGGAATCATACTACAAATGAACAGCACAGACCTTGGACGCTGCTAAGGTACATCAAAGTAGCTGTAGAAACTGTATCAACAATGGCCTATGCCGAGTATAGCGAGATTACATTGTCAGACATTTGCAGTCATGGCTGTAAACCAAACACAGGGATTTGAAGTATTAGAAATGTCCTCCTGATTTTTGCTTCTACACGATTGATTTGAACAAGAGGACAGAAGATCAAGCAGCAGCAAAAAAAAAGAGAAATATTGATTATTCCAGATAATCGCCTGAGGAGAGGTCATGCAGAGAGACCAGTGAAGTCCTGGACAGCGGTGGGACAGATGGGGAGATAAATGGTTCAGTGGAGTGTTTAATCAATGGAGGGGAAGGAATGCATGTTTGGTCCTTGACTTAATGCAAAACACATAAAACTTAGGTTTACATGAAGAGGTTAAGGACAATATTACAGGACTACAACTAAGGATTGATTTTCAACTGAATGAATGTGCAATTGTTTAGAAACGTCAATGCCAGCATTACACTTGGCTGGATATTGTTGGACCAGGGAGGGCATTTGGCATTTAACTTAAAAAGAATTGGAATGCAAATTACTGAACGGTAGGATAACTTGGAAAACAGTTTTTTTCAAGGCTAGTGCAGGCAAAAAAATCTAAGTATTATTTGCTTAAAGCTAAACTGTACATGACCCCCATATTTTTAGGGTAATATATGGGGTTGATTTTCATTTTATTTTCCCCAAATTATGTCATTTAAATTTTCTACAAACTGACCCACTGCGCTTTTTCACACAAACCTATAAGAGAGCTGTGTAGTCACATTTTGTGCAGCTATCTCTTCATATTAAAGTATTAATATAGCAAGGTTTTATGGGTATTTTTAGATTTCAGATTGACTGACACAAACTATTGGTATATGCTGGAGTTTTAAGCCTGATAACCGATATGCTAAAAAGTTCAAATATTGGCCTGATATATCGGTCAATCTGTAGTAGTAGTAGAATTGTAAGTAGTACTGCTGAAAACCATTGTAGCTATAAGGCAGTTATACAGTCAACAGAAATAAGAGAGGGAATAAAGTGTTATGCACCATGGTGGTTAGTAATAAAAACAGATTTATCATCACCCATTGTATCTATAAAATACATTTAAAACCAATGGAAACTAATGCATGGAGGTGACAGGCAGCTATTACCTTAAACTATGGCTCACTGCTGTAGGTCTGTGCCTGGTGCTACTTGAAGTATTTCCCTGCAGCCCGAGTTCCTGCAGGACGAGGAGTGTGACTGTGCAATTTGTCATTTACCTCTGCGCCCACTGAGACCCAGAGCTGTAAAACGGGGTCTGCTCAAGAATCATGATCCAATAAGTGCAGCCTGGGACCTGGCCATTGCCTCACTGAGCACTAGTCACTACATCCACCATATCCTCAACACTTTTGGGAATCGCACAACCAAGCAAACTGGAATTCTGCATAATTTAGAAAAACAGAGAAGAAAAAAAGTCGAATTGCAATTTTTGTGATATTGTGCTGTAGTATATTTCTTTAAAGGGGCTATATTGTGCTATTCTGATCTATGCTATGAAGTTGTTTCCTCATCACAAACATACCTGGAGTTGTGTTTTGTTTCATGTTCAACACAAACCCTGCATATTCAGGCTGAGTTCTTCTCTCAAAAGAAAACAGATCATTTGAGCCCTGGAATTGCCAATCTCTTCTAAACAAAAGGTAAAATGTTTCTTTTATCGTAAAAACTAGGACTAAATGACATCACAAAGTGGAACAGATCATTTAGAGCTTTGTAGATGTAGAGGTTACTCAGACATGTGTGAATGAAACAAAACACAACTCCAGGTATGTATATGATGTGGTAACAGCATTCTAACACGGCTTAAAGCTCAGAAGAATCCATTTTGTGTGATATAGGATCTTTAAAAAATAGGATTCTGTTCAAAGAACACAGAGCATTAGCATTTGAGAGACTGAAATATGAAGTTATAAACTAAAATACAGAACCCAAATCCACTGCATTTCAGAACATATTTGTAGAGGTCTAAACTATGGGTACAACAAGAATTTTCTATAAAAATACAGAATATTTTGTACTTTGCAGAGGACATTCTGTTATCTAAATAATTACAGCCCTTGAGTTTTGATAATTGCACCAACTTAAATAGTGATTTAGATTCAATTGTGTTTTAATGCGTAGCCCAACTCTTTTGCTTTGAGTTAAAAAAGGATCATAGACCGAAGTCTGTGGGGCATCGCATGACTCAGTTCTGAATCGAAATCCTCTCAGAGCTTCAATACCGATTGTCACGGCACAAAACGTATGAAAAATGTTAAGTCCATCCCTCCCCAAAGCCCAAAGTGGTAAATTTACTATGATCCCCTCCATGTCACACTGCCTCTGTTCCCCGTCCCATCACAGTGACCTAACTAAAACTCACAGGGAAGCACTTCCAATATTAAAAGCCTCATAAAGCACGCTGACGTCCCCTGTCTGTATAAAGGGTCACTTTGAGCTGTGGCGAATTTCCAAACCTAATATAACTGTGACTAGGCCCAGTGAAGAGATGAAGGAGTTCAGCTTCCTGTAACCCTGCTGAGAGTTACTACTGCCAGCAATATGGTGCACTTACATTTTAGGGGATATATGAATGAATGATAGTCCACCACTTGCTGGTACAGACAAAACATAATAAAGTTCAATGTAAGAAATGACTCATAACTTTGTATATGACTCTTGTATGGACAATTATTAAAAGCTTGTACAATAGTGACATGACAGAGAATAGCAGCAGGTCTGTTGTGTTTGGCTGGGAGCCTGAGGCACTGAGCCAAAGGGAGGGCCAGAGCTAAGACCGCTTCTGTTTGCACAAGGAAATAAAAGAAATAGGGGGAAAACAAAAAAGTCTATCATTAAGGGTCTTTGGTAGGTGCTCAACACAGAGTGAGAACACTGAGTGAGATCCAATTATCTAAACTCTGGCTGAGCAATTAATCAAATCAAATCTAGATTGAGATTCAGACACCTCTAATTATTGTATGCTTGGGTCTTTTTAATGGAGAAGTCTGCAGCCAGACCTCTGTCAGAAAAAAAGAAATATGTCTTTGGAGTTCATACTTAAGAGGATGAAATTGTACTCTTGCTTTTGTTAATAAATGTGTTGTGCTTATGTTCACATAATTAGTATTATAAGCTATTATTTGTGAGCCAGGCTGGTGCCACCTAGTGCCTTCACTCAATTTAATTTCTCTCAAGCAACTAGGTCAGGAATCAAAACACACTAGATTGTTTGCAAGAACCCCAGAAGTTGTAGACCACTCACTGGCCAATCAACGAAGAGCTGTGAAGCCATGATGTCAAACTCAAACGCCTTAACTCAAGTGCCTGTCCAGGTCCCTTTTGTGGAACAGCACAAGAGTAAACAAAGTGGTCGAGATGGATGTAGATGAAGCCATACATTCTGTGTGGGCAACAATTCCCAAGATCGAGGATTTAAAGCTGGAACAAAGAGAATATTTGGTGAATTTTATCAAGGGGGAAAAAGCTATTGCCGTTCTTCCTACGGAATTTGGAGCATTACATACATCACAACCAAACAGCAGAGACTGGTTAAATAAAAAAGTATCCGCCTACCGTTGAGCGAACAAATCCTAATGCTGAGGTGTGTTTCATAGGAAAAATTCTGTGTTATAACTTAATAGCAATTCTATATGTATCAAATGTAAAAAATAATTGTTGCCTCTTTACCACTTTTCTGTCAAGAAACAATGTGATTTATGATACCACTACACAATTGTATTAATAATGTTCACTCATGTTTTGAACTGAATGAGTAGTGACTGTATTAATATTTAATAATGTAGTAATGATCAGGTTGCCTAGTAACACATGAAGTGTCAGATTTAATGCTTCAGATAGATGCTCCAGAAGAACAAAGACTATTCACACATGACAGGATACTACTGTCAATATAGCTGTGCTAACATACATTATCTTTAACTGTCAAGTGAAGGCCAATATAGTAGTATGGTAGTATAGTGTGTTTCAAATAGGCTGTAACATGGGAGTATGCTCTATAAAAAATTA